TCGGCCTTTTCCGCCTGCACGATGGTATGTCCAGTCAGTTCCAGAGCCCCAGCGTTGTGCCGCAGTCTGCGGCTGCTTCATGAGCGGGCGGGCAGGCGGCTGGCCGGCACGTGGAAGGTGTGGCGCGCGTCCGTCAGCACGTCTGCCAGGGGCGGTTCCGTGCCAGCGCACCCGTCCGCCATATCCAGTGGCAGTTCCAAGAGAGACCATGCCAAGGCTTGCTGCGCGGCCACAGCCAACATGCGTCCCTTGAGACAGGGCTGACGAAGGTCGTGTCGACCGCCACCTGCGCACCCTGCCACTCCGCGCCTTGCCGTTCGCCCGCAGCCACGACGAGGCGGTCCTCGGTTGTTTACGAGAGTTTTTGGCAAACGACTCGCCGCCGTTATGGGATGCCCTCGCCACCAAAAGGGCGCAACTGCCGCTGCACTTCGGCTGGCCTCGGCTTGCGGTCGGCCGAAACCCCGCGCATGGCGGCACACTGGGCAGCTTGGGCGGGCACTCTCCCAACACTTCGTGGGAGACACCCGGTGGTTGTCGAGGGGTTGCTCAGCCAGGCCGCGTCGCAACGACGTGGGGAAGGCAGCCTCCTCCCTTGCGTGGCCGCCGCCACGAGCTCGCGATTTTGTTTACAGCGGGCGGGATTCGACGCCCCAACATGGCATCAGTTGATCGATATTGCGGCGCACGACCCCTTGCGGGTATGGCAGCGGGCCGCCACGGCAAGCTTGGATGCGGCGTGCGAGAGCCTCCTCTCTGACCTTGACCCGGCTTCGCGCGCGCTATTGTTGTCTCAAGCTGGCCCTGGCGGCTCACGTGCCACCACCGCGCTTCCCACCTCGCCGGAGCTGCGTATGCCCTCGGAGTGCACGCGCGTCGTGTTGCTTCGGCGGTTGAAGTTGCTCTTGCCTCACGCGCCAAGGCCATGCAGATGTGGGGGGAGCCCTTGGGAACCACCGGGCCGCTTGCCCTGTGGCGGGCGTTGTGGGTCCGCGCGGTGCACCTTTGGAACGGGCCGCCGCCCGGATTTGCCGGGAAGCTGGGGCGCGTGTCGCAACCAACGTTTTGCTGCGCGACATGAACGTGGATGTCCCGCTGGCGGATTCCCACCGCATTGAAGCGCTAGCCAATGGACTGCCCTTGGGCTGCGCACATGAGCAACAGCAACCAAGCCGCCTGCAAATCGGGGACAATTGGTTTGTTGCAGGAACGCGTCAACAAAAGCGTCGTTGCCCAGCGGTGTACCAAGTACGACCATGCCTTATTGCACGGCCGTCAAAACCGACGCAGTCTGGTGGGCGCCCAGGTTGCGGCGGCACTTCCGCCGCAAGTCTTATTGCGCGCATCCACCAGCAAGTCTTGTTTGTGTGTGTGTGTTTTTTTTTTTCATCGTGTTTTTGTTCAAGAGTCAGGGATAGTAAGGTCAGGGCTTGAAACCCTGCGTGGAGCAATCAATGCTTCCCTGCAGCGCATGTTCATAAGATTTCATCATTTTACATCATATGGTTGATGTTCGTACTTTTTATGTTTTTCCCTCAACTTCTTCTCGGACCTTTTTGCATCCCCACAAATGTTTTTCTTTGTTTTTTTTTCCCCTCGGACCTTTTTGCAGTCAGGCGAAGCGGTCCCAGTGCAG